TGGAGACGTGCGGCAGCGGCGGGGCGTAGAGGTGGTACTGGAGCGGTTGCCGCAGCTTGGTCGGCCCGGTGCCCGCGTAGAAGTCAAGCCCGCCGCCCATGCCGAGCCCGCCGGCCGCACCGCCCGGCCCGCCGGTGGGGTCGCCAAACTCGGTCATATGCTCGTACGGGTTGAAGGCGCGCGGAGCGGGTGGGTGGCTCGGGGTCCCGGCCTGCATCGAGGGATCCTGACCGGGCATGGCGGCGCCCGCATAGGTCGGGTCAAAGGCGCTGCCCTGCGATGGTGCGAAGGCGGTGCCGGCAGAGTCGAGCGCAGGGTCAAAGAGGAGACGGCGACGGGAGCGGGTCAGCGGGGGGACGACAGCGACGCGAGCGGTCAGCGGGGGGACGACGGCGACGCGGAAGCAGACGTGGGGGCATCCCCGCCTGCGACACTCACCATGGAGTCGCCCTCGTAGCCCATGCTGAACGAGTTTGGCGTTCCTCGCCCGCTCATCATGCCGCTCGTCTGACGCTGGGCCGCCGAACTGGCACCGGCCGCCGAGATGCTGACGTCGTACATACCGGCGATGACCTCCTCTGCGTCGGACTTCCTGCCGGCTTGCGAGGTGGCGGCGGCGGCGGCGGCGGCGGCGGGTCCAGGGCCGGTGCTGCTGCCTCCGGACGACTTTGGCACAAAGACGGCGGCGGCGGCGTTGCGAGCGCTGAGGGCGCCCTTGAGCGGGCTGTTGGGCAGGCTGGCGCCAGAGGCCATCAGCTTGGCCTTGCTCGAGGCCGGAATGGGCGAAGATGAGGGCCCTCCCGCAGAGGGCGCCTTGCCATTCTGGCCGCCGCCGCTGACGCCCGTGGCATGGTCAAAGGGGCAGCCCTCGCCCTCGTACCGGCAGTGGCCGTAGATGGCGACGTTCCTGCAGGGTTTCCGCGCGTTGGATGAGGGCGAGGTGACGCTGGTGTCGACCGTGGCCGACGAGGGCGTGGGCGAGGTCGGGTCGGTGGAGCTGGATCCGGCGGGGGGCGCGACGATGGGGATGGCGGCGCTGGCGCGGGTGCGCTGGTTGGGTGAGGCGATAAAGGGCTTTGACTGGTGGCTCATTGGGTGGCCGCCTTGGCCATGCTGGCCGTGCTGCGGCTGGAACTGGTACATGGTGGAGGCGGGGCGTGGGACATGAGGTGGTACAACCAAGGGCCTGTCGGTGGGTGCGGGGAGGGCCGCAACTGCTGAGAGTCGACCAAGTGCAGCCTGCTACGGCGCTGCTACAGCCGTCGGTGGGCGGCGGACGTGGTCCTCGGAGGATTTCCGATGCCGGAGCAGTGCGCTGATAGGAGGAACCACCGTTGTGCCGACTAGCACGAGGCGCCGACGCGAGGGCGAGCACGAAGCGGTGCGGTGCGGTGCGGTGGGGTGCGGTGCGGTGCGGGGACTGCGCCGGCCGACGAGGAAGAGGTGCGGGTGGCCGAGGCGAGCTGGTCGATGGACTGAGTCTACGGGGGGGTGGAGGGTGATGGCGAATAGGCTGGCGCTGCGTCTCCGTCGACGTCGGTGGTGGTGATGATAATGACGGCGGTGGTGGTGGCAGCCAGCAGTGGGTGGTACAGAAGATGGAGCAGGCCAGGCCAGGCCGGGCACTGGGCAAGCGAGACGTCTGCGGGCAGCCCGATGCAGCCAGCCAGGCGAGCCCCAGCGCCAGCCCGCCACGGAATCCAATCTCAGCGCGACGCCCACGCCCAGTCAAGAGCCCTCGCGCCGCGCGCACGGCCAGCCGCCGCCAGTCACCAGCCACAGCCGCGCCCGCCGTCGACTAGTGACCCTCGACGCCACTCGACCCTGCCCGCTTCGTCCCGTCGCCGCAACGTTGATTGTCACTGCCATTCAGAGAAACACAAGGGCCTCAGAGCCCACGAACACTATGGGCGAGAACAGTTCGACACTCGAGGCGCACGGCGTCGTTGGCCCGCCGGCCGGTCGGTCACGCCGACGCCGCCCTTTGCCAGCCAACGAAACGCCCCTCACAGCGACACCAGCGCCGGCTCACGGCCCAACCAGGGCAGGCTCTCGACCGCCTCGACCGTGCTCAGCCGCGCCCAGTAGCACGAAGGAATGTGCGACACCAGGCTTCCGCAGCAGCAGAGGGCATGGTGACGATGTCGTCGGCAGAAGTCAGCCACGCCCACGTCGACGGCAGGCGACCACCTCGCAGCGCGCCCTTCTCGACTCACCGAGAAACGACCGGCGTCTGCTCCAGGATGCGGCACCACAGCGGCAGACGGACGTCGGGACCAGAGCCAGAGCCGCCGAGATGGGTGATGACCTGGTGGACCGCGCGCGCGCACGCACGCACGCACGCGGACAGGGCAAGGGCAAGGGCAAGGGCAAGGGCAAGGGCAAGGGCACGGCGTCAGCCCGTCTCGCCAGCATCGCCCACGCAAGGACCACGGTCAAGACCGCTGCCCCGTTCGCTCACCTTGACACGGGCTCCCTTGGGCAGCAGCGTGCCCGGTCCGGCGCCCACGAGGTTGTTGCGGTGGCGCATCTGGATCTCGGCGCCAATGTGAGCGTAGTGGAACTGGCTCGTCGGCGAAATGTGCGACAGCATCTCGTAGTCGCCGCCCTCGGGCAGCATCGTGGCCACCGGATCGTGGCGGTTCGTCACCCTCCACAGCGTCTGCGGGCGGTCGAGGTTGTCGTGGATGGCGCGGCCGAAGCCCTCGATGCACTCCGGGTCGCCAAAGATGGGACAGCCAAACGTGTAGGCGTCGCGGACGCGGACCAGGTCGTCGCCCTCGCTGTTGCTGCCAAAGTCCTTGGGCGAGGCCACGGCGCGGGCAAAGAAGAATGAGGCCAGGGCCGCACCCAGGCTGCGACCGGGCCGTGGGGATCGGGGAAACCCATCGTATCGTCAGCAGTCAGGCCCTAGGGTGCGATCAGACAAAACATCGAGGCAGCGGGCGGCGCGCACCTGTGTCCGGTGACGAAGAGGTTGACGTGATCGTCGGCGCTATTCTTGACCAGGAGCTTTGCGATCTCCTCGATTCGGTGGCGGATCTGCTCGTAAGGGAACTCGCGCGGCGGCTTGCGCTCCTCGTCGAGCGCGTCGGGCCCGAACACGGTCAGGTAGGCGTCGTGGAGCAGCTGGCCGACGTAGCCCGTGGTGGCGCCCTGCCGGATGTCGCTCGGGAAGAGGCTCTCGTAGAAGCCCGAATGGACCTTGCCAAAGCCGGGCAGCCACGCGCCGCCCTCGGTGTATCGGATGGTGAAGTCGAGCGCCCACTCCTTGAACTCGACCGGGTTGGTTCCCTGGTGATCGAGGGGGAGCGGTCGTTGGACAAGAGAGGGTGGGTGCGGCAGTGTCAGTCTCAAGCCTGGCGGGATGCCTGGCAGAACCATGGCCACTCGACGACGCGCTCACCTTGAAAGAGAGGATGATAAAGTTGCTGTTGGGGTCCCAAAAGGCGCCGCAGACGGGCGACGTGTTGGTGCCGAGCTCCGAGATGGAGCGGTAGTGGAGGCCCCACTTGGAGCGGGCGGTCCTGATGATAAAAGTCGTCGGTCC